CCATCTTGAGAAAACCGTAACGTATCTTCTTATTAAACGGTCTCTACACTTGCAGTACAAAGTTCTCAATGCTTCGTTTTGCATGTAGGGACCCTATCATGAAAACAAATCTCAGAGAACGGTCGACTAGGTACCAATGTTTTATTAGACCAAAGGTTCATTTTGTGCTAGAGTTCTCCTTTAGAAGCTAAATTTTTACAAGAACGATGTTTACACCCTGCTGGGTGACACTAAAAGAGAACAAGTTCCAATTTTTGCAACTATTACATTTGATTTCCTCTTTTTAACCCGGCCACCTTGCTCCCACAGTGATGTTTGAGTCCAAAGGACTCATGGGAACTGGAGTCCATCCTCTACAGAAGCCCCCAAACAAGTATGTTCCACTTTTCGTTCGGTTGTTTGCATTATATGTGTGTTTCTTGTGTTTTTTTTTTTCTGTCCTGTCAATCATTTCTTCACCTTTCTACATTCTGTGATGTGCAGTTTCAACCTGCCGTCGTTGTTACCATGCAGAAAATTCTAGAAATAAACAAGACGTTACGGGATCAAATGGATTACATCCAGCATCCACCTTAACAGTCGGAGATGTGCTTTTCTGCAGCGGGGAGGCCCGCCCTTAATGAATTGCCCCCTTTGCATGTGTTGCACATTACAAATGGCAAAAGCAGGCCGAGAGTAAAGGTCAAATTAAATTTGTGCCGCCCTCTTGGTGATGCTCTGACAATAACCTTTAATGTAATTTGGCGAGTTCTGTTTTGGATCGGGGTTTCACTTTCTACTCCTCTAGGGAACCACGGTGCCCCTGGATGAGCTCTTACTGTGCCGCAGACCTTATCAGGCAGCCAGCCTCAGATAGTCCTGATTAATTGTGTCTGTCTTCATTTTTTTATGAGGCATGATTTATGATAATACCCCCTTTTCAGCCCCTCGGAATGACAATTATTTCCTAGTGGATAATTCATTCATTTTTCAAAAATAATAATACGGAGAAATTGAATGGCAGACTCATTTGTTTTGCTCAGGTGTGGGGGGATATTTTTATGCGATTGCGCGAGGACAACGTTGTACATCAGTCTAATTAAACGCTGAAACTAGGACTCTGACAATTATTCCAGTGTTGAGCCCCAAACAGACATGGGCAGAAGGAGAAACTAGGTCTGTGTGTGGTTGTCAAGTTCGCCTCTCCTCGCAAAACTTGATATGCCCAGACTTTCGACATCTACCATCGGTGTGACGTCTTATTGCTCAGGGGAAGGCAGGCAGGCAGAGATTCCTGTGTCTGTGAGTTTGTGTGTTTGTACGAACAGCTGACAGAAACAGAAAACAAAAGGCTGACGTCCCCTCGGGGGGGAACAGTCAACCGTCTCCATATGGCATGTCATCAGCCCATCAATCATGCCACGGTCCCTCCCCCCACCTTCCCAACCTGTCTCTGTTCTTTCCTCTTGAAAAGGGAAGGCAGCGCTCTCGAAGCCAGCCCTTCGACATCACCGCCACGTCACCTTTCTCTCCTCTCTGGTTCCAAAACTCGGATTCGCTCTCACCTTCGGGTCCGGGCTCTGACCTCATCTTGTTTTTTTGTGTGTCCGTTTCAGGTGAGCGACCTTTCCAGTGCCGATACTGTCCTTACAGCGCCTCGCAGAAAGGTAACCTGAAGACTCATGTCCAGACCGTGCACCGTCTAGCCTTCGACAACGCACAGTACCCAGACAGGAGACTCCGCCAAGCCCCTACCAATGAACCCACGGACCCCTCCGGATCTCACTGAACATCCCCACCTCCTCACGACCGGCTCAAGATCGAAATCTATAAAAAGTCCATCAAAAACTGTTTGATGCTCAAATACGGCATTCAAGGAAGACTTTGTCTAATGTACGGCATTGGATTTGTTCGTGTTTTTAGATTAGTTTGATGGGAAGTGTTTCCTTTTTTTCATTTTCAACTGACACAAAGCTCTAGATTAAAACGAGACTACGCAGAACAGGCCGACGACATGTTTGCAACATGTTTACACCTCCTTTATCCAGAACTTGCAAAACACTTGAGGGCTAAAACCTTGGCAACACGAGGTCAAAGCTGATGGAGTATGACAGTGAGCTGCGTTCTCAAACCCAAGGACTTCAACTGATCCCCTAAACTTGAAATGCTGCCTCCGAGTTCCCCGAATGACTAGTTGTTAAACTAAATAGCCTTAGTCCGCAACGAGTGTAGTTTGTGCGTGTGTGTGTGTGTGCGATTGTGTTTTCCACATTCTATTTCTCAGGACTTGAGTTAGATGAAATTCCAAAGCCTGCATTCATTCACACCAGTGCATAATTGCACACGAAGGAGACATGCAATGAAATTCAGTGCTTAAGTTTAGGTTTTGCTGATTATAGGCATATATACTGTAATATAGATGTGTGTGTGTTTTGTCACTGGTTGGACAAACACTTGGCACTATAATCAAAATATGACCTAAACACTTTTGTATTGTGCTATACCTGGGATTTCAAGTATTTATGTAAGCGCAGTCGTATTGTTACATGGGTTTCCACTTGCGTTGAGTGTCGTATTCATACACAATCTTTCTGAAGAGTTTAAGGTAAAGACACATGCCATATTTTGCGTTAGTGTCATCTGATTGGTCCAACAAAGTCAGGAATATTATTTGTCTGCACTTAATTTTCAATGTGTTACTCCTTTTTTCCATCAAATATGTTTGCCTCAGTGGATTATGAATAATTGTATTTCAAGAAAAAAAGAAACAACTTAATTCAATGGCGCATCAGGTCTTAAAGCCATGTTAAAATGCTGACGTTCTTAATGAAGGATCTATTTTAATCTTAACATGAAGAGTTGCAAGTTGTCTGTATAATCATTTAAATTATTGCATCATAGAGAGACTAGTAATTAGAGCAAGACTAGATTGGGGGATTTTAGTGTGTTTTATAATGCTACTTATAAAGCTTTAGAATGCCATATTTTTTAGAGTTTGAAAACGTAAACGCAAAGAAATTCTTGTCCATATATTTCTATGGATGTTGTATATGGTAATTAGGTAGCCTATTTACAAATACAGTCACACAGCTGTGTACTTTTAATTGCATTTAGATATGTACAAGAGTCAACAATGAACATTTATCTAGAGCATTTATATTGCCTAAGTCTTTGTGTTGGAAACTAAGCCAAGAAAACTGATCCCACATCACAAATTTTGTTTAAGAAGATCCTCCAGAATGCATTTGTATTGATGCTCAGCAGTCAAACTGTAACATGTTGCATGTTCTAAGCAGTGGTGGTGACCCAGGAACTGAGAGTTACTGAGAACAGTTCTATCACCATTGTCCTTGAACAAGGCACTTAACCCTTGGTTGTTATAGGGACTTTATGTTCCTGCAATTTATGTCTTGAAAGTTGCATTGGGATGAAATGTGACTGCGTAATTGTAATTTACTAACAGTAAATCATGGAATCTTTTAAAATTGGTCCTAGGACACACAAAAATAAAACATGAATAGCTTTTCCTGTTAGCTTTTTACTAAATTACCCCTAAGTACTAGAGCAGAAGACCTAAGAAAACTAAATAGCATGTTATGAATTCATTTGCAATTGGATTGTTTTTTTTTTTTCTTTATGTAACACTATTAATTTTGTGGTTTGAATAGAAGTAGAAGTTGAATGTATGGAATGTATTTTGTGTGTTTAAAAGTTTTCTTTTTTTCCCCCTCCACATATATTTTGTTCAAGTACACAAAACCTGTCAACTGTCCTCATCACATCATCTCCATCTCATACATTGTCAACTGTTGAAGTTTTGAACCACTTAAATTAAACTTTACCCTTACCTTTGGTCTAAATGTTGTTAAATATAAAATAGTGTTAATATTATGGACCAACGTTTCCCAGACTTATCTTGGAGTATCCCCAGCACTGCACATGTATTTCTCCCTCATCAAACACACCTGATTCAAATCATCAACTTATTAGTAGAGACTGCAACAGTGGCTGTGTCCGAAATCGCATACTCTCTTGAGTAGATACTTATTTTGAAACAATATGTATTGTGAAAAGCACTATACAAATAAATTTGAATTGAATTGAATTATTTTGAATAAGCAACGGCCGCTTAAAAAAGTATGGTTCCCATATGGTATATATATATATATATATACATTAGTAGGGAAGTATGCAATTTTGGATGTAGCCTGTAATTGTCTTATAATTGTCTCTACCGTTGGAGAAAGCATAGCGGCCAACTTGGATCACGTGTGCCTTGATAACCAATCACATTCCAGCCTTGCCGTCATTGAATTTTGTTCAGAGTTGTGCGATAGTCAATTACTGTTTGCAGATATAGAATTGAATGAGAAGTGGCATAAACTGAATCATACCTGTCGCACAATGTCTGTGACTTCTCTTATAAAACAGCTTTTTTTTATGTAAACTCAAGAGATCAATCCAAATGTTTAAGAGCAAACATGTTGAAGAGTAGATAAAAAAACAGCTTCTGGTCCCCTTGCCTGCGTACCACATTACGCTATTTTTTGCTTACCTTGGAGGCTTGCCTTAAAGTGGCTTTGACTGCAAGACCTGAATTGGGTGTGTCCGATAAGGGAGACCAGGTTTTGACCCCTGATCTAGGCCACTATCTTTGGGACTTGGACATTTCATTTGTAGACGATTCTGACTTTTTTATGACTCGTATTTAATTTACTAAAGTCAGAGCCGATCAGCCCTATACACACACTAGCCTACACAAGTTGTGTTGGGCCCTGCAAATTACTCAAGGCCCGCCTCCCCCTTGTGTCAAAGTGCGTCAATCAAAGTGTACAACATTGATGAGAAAATTAAGTGAAACTATCCTTCTGGTCACGAGTAGAGAGAAGAAAACACAATGAGAGTGAATTGCCTTAGACTTGAGGTAGACTTGTGTTCTCTCCTCTCCAAGCATGATGTCAACAAAGAAGAGTAAAATTAAGTTGATGTGCATCTCTCTTTAGTCTGTCTGTCTGTCTTACCTAGTAGCAGTGCATCTTTTGGTCTTTCTGTGTCTTGCTTGCTAATGCCGGCCACTTCAAGGGATGTGTTCGGTGACTGTGCCTGACAAAAACAAAAGTGAGAGCGAAACACAATTAATTATGACGTTTGATAAACGACAACGGGCAACTGTGTTTGTTTATAAACTGCATCTAGGAAAAGATAACTGTGTCACGCGTTAACGTGCGTTCATGCGCGTACACGAAATGAAACGTGCACTTTCCAGCAAAACATCTGTGGGGACCAGTACAATTCGGGCATGATGGCACTCCTCATTAGGCTCACATACTTTTAAAACAAGACGATGATTATCTAGTCTCCAAGTCAGTTTAGTTACAACTCTGCAATAAAGCAAGATGGAATGCCAATTATTGGCATTGACTATTGATTTATAGGCTATATTCCATTTAAAATGTTGATTGGCTAGACATACTGGTCAACATGGATGCACATCCCTCAGTAAATTATAACCATCAAGTATTGCTTATATCATCTAAAACCAAGGGGGTAATCCATCGACCGTCGATTTTTTAAATGGCCGATCGTTTCGCTAGATTAGACCCTTATTCATCGTCTGGTGTTGTTTAAAGCCCTTTGAAGCTGTACTGAAACTCTCATTTGGACCTTGAAACGTTTGGTTCCCAATGAAGTCCATTATATGAAGAAAATCCTGGAATGTTTTCATCAAAAACTTAATTTCTTTTCAACTGAAGAAAGAAAGACAGGACATAAAGGAGAAAGTTTTTTTTTTTTTTTTTGACTACTCCTTTAAAGTGAACTACTCCTTTAAACTCTCAACTCTCTATATACAGATCTTCTAAGAAACACCACAATTTTAGGTAAAGACTACTATATAGTAGATAAAAAGACAGTTTATAAAAATAGTAGAATATCCAAATATTCATAAAATAATAGGTCTAAAGTACACGGATGACCTACTAGATCTGCTGAGATTCTGAAGTGCACATCTAATGGACACCTTACTATCCTATGAGGTCACGTGAGAGGAGGTCTGAATGGCAGTGAAGCAACACAACTGACATCATAAGTCACATGCTGGTGACATCATGGCAGATGTAGTAATTCCAAATTCAATTCATACTACACGCATTCATACTATGTAGAACATGCTTTTTTAATGGTCGAAAAGGTTAGTTCTTGTTAAAATGTTGTACCCACTCAGTGCAATCCACTTTTTTAGCAACCAGATTCAAAATATTCAAGTCCCTGGAAAGAATCCCTGTTGCGGGTAGCTATAATTCTATTTTAGTTTTTGTTAATGGAGGAGTTGGGTAAAAAAAACTTGCAATTGAGTGGTTGTTCTGAATATCTTTCTGTGGTAGGGGAAACACTGCTCTAGACAGCAGATAAAAAGTCAATGTATGCACACTGTCATCCAAGATACAGCCTTGCAGCCTGCAAATACTGTAATCTACTGTAAAGATTCATCTTTACTATTCGTGTAAGTGTTAAATGTCTAAAGCACCAAATTATACCATGGTCTAAATTGCATTTTACTTAATCAGACATATCTCTTTCTCTCCCTCTTTTTCTCTCTGACCTCTCTCAGTCATGTGTGTTCACTTACATTAGTATTGAAGTCCTTTGCATTGAAATGGCTGCTAATTGCATTGATCTCCTTTTGTGCATGCATAGCTACTGCTGCTGTTCTGTGCTGTGACAAATGACTTGGGATTACATTGCTAAACAACTGGGGGAGTCTGTCTGATCTACTAACCACACACAATAGGCCTCTGTTTAGAAACAAACCGTGGGGCACGGTTCAAGCTCACATTTGAACCTATACCCAGTCAACACATACAGTATATGTATGTACATTTGACATGAAATGGGCTGAAAAACTGGGGATTATATAGGATTGTCCATGGGTTCCATAATGGCCCCGTGCCAATTGCCCACATGGATTTTTGGGCAGGATTGCATTTGCCACTAGGTGGGTCATGCGCAAGACCCATCTTGGTCCAAGCCCTACGCTGCATTCACACGGGGCGTAGGCGTCAACGCTTGATGAAGGGATGTGTCTGAAGCTTGGTGCTGACCTGAGCGTCATAGTGACAACAGCCAATCACATTACTTTTCCGGTGTAGCATGAACGTAATTGGCTAGCTTAAGCACTAGGGTATTTGCATAGGAAATCTGATTGGCTGACGCTTGTGTTTGCACTTGAAAAGTTTTTCAACTTCTGCCGCTACGACGCGACGGAACCCACAATTCAAATCGGCAACGCATGATGTCTAGCCTGGGTTTCCCCATTCTGCCTTGCCGCAGCGCGATTTTATTCGCGCTGCTAGGCAGTCTGGATACCATAAACCAAATTTTCCCCTGAGCTGGTAAGTCCCGCCCCTTCCGCTGGATCCTCTAGATTGAAAAATGCAAGTGAATGAGAGAAAACAATTATTTTCTAATCCCGTTTGAATTTTGCAATGAATGTGAACATATGTTGTCTGTGAATTTTTATATAATTTTTCGTGTAAATAATGCTACAATTTAGCGGGTAGAATTTAGACGGTTAGACTTTGTGTGAGAGCACTTTGTGGACTACAACTCTTTCGACGTGTTTGATATTCATCACACCCACCAGCACACGGATCCCGCAAAATATGCCTGTGTCTTTGGTGCAATTCACCGCCTTCTTTCAGGGAGAGCTCAAACTAGTTGAGCGTGGTGAAAACCGTGATTTGTGGAGGGAAAATGTGTTATGCGGCGACGTCACATATGCGACGTGTAGTCTTTCTCGTTATGTCTATTCCACAACTGCTAGCCAAAGAATCATACAATATACTGTCAAACTCGTTACATGAGAAATTATATAAAAAATTCACAGACAACATATGTTACATTCATAGCACAATTCAAACGGGATCAGAAAAGAATTATTTTCTCTCATTCACTTGCATTGACGCTTTTTCAACGTAGAGGTCCACTTGGAGTTGTACGGATGGGCGGGACTTACCAGCTCTATAGGGAACCAATCACAGAATGGGGAGGGAGCACAGGCGCATTTTATAGACGTACAGGCGCATTTGATAGACATTCGTAGCACCCAATAATACGACTCTGGGCATTCGTAATCCATGCCTCAAATACGAGAAAATTTACATGTGTTTTCCAGACCATGTTTCATTCTCAATGATACCTGGTCTGGCATTAGCCAGGCTACATGACGTCACCCATTCAAAAGTAAATGAGAAGCTTTAACACCGACGCCTTGCACTGTAAGAAATGGGTAAAAGCAAGACATGACACAATTTGTCATGTCTTGTAAATAAATATATTCAAGAAATATATTCAAGCAGTTACCTACAGAATTTACAACTCTCTTTCGTAGTTATTATTTCATTTACACTTTTTATAAAATAGGAGAAAGAAAAGACAGCAAACAAATGTTCAGCCCAAACTTCCTGTTAGAGCAAGAAAATACTTTAAACAGATTCATTTGTGATCTTTTTTTCCTACCAAGACATGAAACTGCCTGCAGCTGGATTAAATGAATTGGTTTGACTGGTGCAGTCATTGGTAAAATATAAATCATTCATTAAAAACTCAGTACCTTTAATCAGACTAAATTTAAAAGGCAAGAGGCCACCCATCTTTGGGGGATTCAGATGGGGATTGTGATCCACTTCACTAGGCACTTCTCTGGGGGTCAGAGCAGTAACGTAGAGTTGGTGCAGGAAAGCGAAGGACGCTGTCACTGTCATCGGAGGAGAACAGAAAAGAGACGCATGTGCATATTTGTGTGTGAGCGTGGGCCCCGATCGCCACGCGACAAAAAGGCCAGAGAAAATTACAACACTTCAAGTGTTTCCGACACCCCAACAGTGTCTGCGGCGGAAAATATGTAAATACGCTGCTAATCAAACGATCTGGAATTGCAAATGCCACAGCGAGGTCGCGACCCGGATCCTTGCTAATGGAGGGTTTAGGGCACCGGCGGAGCAGGTTGGAGTGACGGGTACCGCGGGGTTGAGAGCGGAGAGCGGACCCCTGGCGGACGACCTCTGCCTGCAGGCCCCTCACTATGCTGACAGTAATGAATGGAGAGAGCTGTTTATGCATATCAACGATTATTTACAGCCAAACAGCTGAAAGAGCGAACGCTAGTCATCAGGGACGCAGACACTCTCTTCTGTTTGCCTCGCATCGCCATTGTCAAATGCAGGAGGCTGGGGGCCAAGAAAATTAAAGGGTTAGTTCACCCAAAAATGAAAATTCTGTCAGTATTTACTCACCCTCATGTTGTTTCAACCCCGTAAGACCTTCGTTCATCTTCGGAACACAAATTAAGATATTTAAGATATTAAGATCGCTCCTGCATACAGTCCATAGGCTTCTTGAGGTACTGGCTCTTGCTGTCCCCGAAAAGTCATTAAAGACATCGTTAAAATAGTCCAAGTGACTACAGGGGCTCAATCTTAAGTTTATCAAACGACGAGAACACTTTTGTGCGCAAAAAAACAACAAAAATAACGACTTTATTTCAACTATTCACTTCCTTCTCCATGAGCCTGTAAGTCAGTTAACGTAGTGTGATTGCGTAAAGCTACGTCACACGTAGGCTCACTATTGGCCGACGCTGGTCATGTGTGTGTGATGCGTGTGACGTACAATAACAGAAGCTTACGCTATTAAACTAGTAACCTGACTCGCGCAGAGGGAGAAATAAACGAATAGTTGAAATAAAGTCGTTATTTTTGTTGTTTTTTTGCGCACAAAAGTGTTCTCGTCGTTTGATAAACTTAAGATTGAGCCCCTGTAGTCACTTGGACTATTTTAACGATGTCTTTAATGACTTTTCGAGGACAGCAAGAGCCAGTCCCTCAAGAAGCCTATGGACTGTATGCAGGAGCGATCTTAATATCTTAAATATCTTAATTTGTGTTCCGAAGATGAACGAAGGTCTTACGGGGTTGGAACAACATAAGTGTGAGTAAATACTGACAGAATTTTCATTTTTGGGTAAACTAACCCTTTAAGTCTCTCGATGTAGAGGATCTCGGTAATGGATCGACTGAAATTCTCTAAACATTAGACGTGTTGGCTAAAATGACAAAAAGAATGACATTTTAAATAAAAGACACTGAAAAGTCTGATTAACTTTAAACATTTTTATTTAGTGTTGCCCACATGGATTTAGTACCTTAAAATATGCCATCATATTCTTTAACTTGTCTTGTAGTCAAATACCAAAATGATTATTAATGATTAATGACCAAATCGATTATTGTTAAATAACATATGAGATTTTATTTTTCAGTGCGATATTTTTTATAAGTTTTTAACTTTAGATTACATTTGCCATCATTGAACACTCAATTGCAGTTAATCTTTAAAAACACTAATAATTTAATAGCACTTTTGAATGCAATCTTTAATTAAATCTCAAAATGAATCTCCATTTTTATATAACGGTATGGCCGTGGTATTTAAAAGTTTTTAATATTTAGTTATTTATTTCGATAAAATCAGTTTCAGTACAGAATTGTAATATTAATGCATCACTAATGATAATCATGGTATATATCATACTGCCACAGTACTTCCACCCCCAATATCAGCAGTATAGTAACCCATTCGAAACTGCTCTCTAAAGCTGAACATATAAATCACATTGTTTTCCCTAGCACACTTAAACTAGTCAGGCACATATACCTTAAAGAAGAACAACTCCAATCGAACATATTAACCTGTCCGGCATATTTTTCGACAGCCAGCAGCCTTTGTCCTTTAGCATCATTGTCAAAGCTTTACAGCTCTGTGTGATTCGTGACTCATATCAGCAGAGGAGAGAATTAAACCATATCTAAAGTATGCTAATCAGAAGCTATTCAGTAGGTCTGCACTCTCAAAAGTGCAAATGGTTCCCAGGACATCCAGTGACATTTAACATCGCCCTCACTAATTTGTGCTTAATAGGCAAAAAGTGATTAGCATTAACATTAAGGACATTTCATACATCCCCCTTTCCCATTAATTTTCTTCTTCTTTTTTTTTTTCTTCTGATACTTAACAGTTGATGTATGTAGCTGGATCCTACAGCTTAAACTAATGCTATGCTTTTGGCAGAAATCCTTCAGAAGTATAGCAAGAGCACCAGTATAGTCTACTCTTTGACAAAAGAACAAAACAGCAAAGAGAAATAGTCACAGAACATTTTAAAGAAGCCGTTTAAAGTAAATCCTGTAATACAGGCCTCGGGATATCAGTCAGGCCCTCTTAACAAACCGCCCAGTGTTCGACTAAAGCGACTAGCATGGGATTAGTCAAAAGTGCTAATTCTACAGCTCTTCTAGTGTGCCCAACAGATTCAAGTGTCATTTGTTCATCTGGACCAGTACAAGTTAAGATGAATGGACTAGCGCGGTTACAAACATGCTCATGTACCATTTATAACTCTCTTGTCCTCTTCTGTCAGCGGTGGTCTCTACACTGGTGGCGCAAAGATCTCTAACAATGTCCTAGAACTGATGTTCTCAAAGTCAGAACAGTGTAAGAACAATGGTTCAATCACTTTGCCTTCAACACAAACAACTCTTCAACCTTCTGTACACTCTTGGGAAATGGGCAGAGCCAATGATGACGGACAGTCCAATCTTCCAACCAGACACTTCTAAGAAGGACATGACTCTGGCCCACTACCTTTGGCCCAGCCAGAGCTGAAGGTGATAAATGTATATTGGCAAAGTGTCTGTGCCAATGCTATTAGTCTGAAGGTTTAAACTCTTGTGTAATTTTCTTTAGGGACTTCTTTATAGGCACAGCCCGCAGTATTGGCAACCGTGATAGGAAGACTCGACTCTCGCAGAGCAAGTGGAGTGGAATTTCTGATTAGGCCTCTTCCCATGCATTGAGTTGATAATAATGGGCTAGAAGAAGGAGGGAAGCTCTCTTAACAAACAGTGATGTTAACAATAGCATAAGTAGAAGTGCTGATGTATTTAACAAGATGTTTAGTAGACAAATGATGAATGGCCTCTAGTAATAAAACCAAGTATCTTCATGGTGACTGTCTTAAAAGCAAGTTGTCCACAACTAAGGGGTACCAAATGGAACTGCAAACACTGTTTTCAAACATTTTTACAGAACACTCCCTCCCCGTCAGTCATTGGTCAACAAACATAGCCTCTAGTCCCGCCCCCAAACTCACACCATTGGGCCAGTGTTGCTATACTCAAACAAAAAGAGCAATGTTTTGATGATCACCATTAATGTTTGCATTTACCTCAACATTATTTATTTTTAGTTTTGAAATGTAAAAGTATAATTTAGTATTACATTAGCCTACATATTACCTCAAAACTAGGCTATATATATATCCAAATGTGCAAAATGTAATTCAATTCAAAATGTTAATCTGTCCTATACTTATTTCCACCACCCTTCTCTTTTACAAGGAACAGAAGCAGACTTTGTCAGGCCTTAGATAAATGGTCGCAAAAAAAGAAGAAGAAAAAAAACCTGAGTAATTTGAGTCTTTTGTAATACACTTGACAATCATGCTGGAATCTTTTACCCCAGAAATGCTAATTACTCACAGCGGGAAACAGTTATGGAGAAGGGCGCAGGAGTTTAATGTATTCCAGTGTTGCCGTAAAGTCGACAAAGCGGAGCATTTGCGTGCTTCTCCTTTGCCCAAATACCTTAAGCCAAATGCTGAAGGATTATTGTTAATGGGAGAACCTTTAATGAGCCAAGAGTGACTTTATGAAGGTGAACTGAACCTACGGCTATATAACAACCATCATTGCACTTGAGTTTTACACAGTTGTCTTCAGCGGATTAAATGCTCCCTAAATGACGTACATTAAATTGCAAAGCTGAAGTTTATGAAACAAACATGACGGTCTACCTTCTTAAAATATGTTGCCCCATTCCCTCTTCTTAGTAATGGGATATGAAATGCAGCATACAAATAGAGAAACTGTCAAAGAAACATAAGCTTCGACTTACCGCAAAACTTTTCTATAGACCCTTTTCGCATTTCCGGGTTTCTGAGGTGAAGGTGTGACGTTAATTGGGTAAACTTAGCGGTGAATTAAGAGACTACATTTTGTGTGTTCCCATTTGCTCGAATAGCAAAAGAAAAACTCCACATTATTGTTTTCACAACTTTCAAAAAGAGAGACTCATATAACGGCAGTCAGAAGAGAGAAAGATTCTCTCATCAATTTCCCCACTCTTAAAGGCTGTAGCAGCCTATAGAAACACAGCGTTAACTAGTTTCTTGTAATTTGATGCAAAGTTTTTTTTTTCCCAAACTATGGTGTTATAAATCCACATAAAATATATATTAATGACATATAAAAAACTTTGCAGGGTTTACGATGTTGACGACTGTTGAAATGCGTTAGCCATATCCTCCTTATTAAAGTGCTCGTAGGAACTGGCACAAATAGCATTCTAGTTTTTCAACACACGTAAACGTTATCAAATGAAACTATGATAATCAAGTAAACCTGTACTGAAATATTTCAATTAAAATTATTTTTGTTAGGATTGAAATTCCATCAAACGAGCCAGCAGCGTCTTATCAACAGTTACTAAGGCAACCAGCAGATGGCGTGCAACGGCAAGCAGAGCGGCTTATTTCTGAGGGCTGGCCTGGGGGTAGTTTCAGAGAACACTGCCTCCAGAAATTTATTTTCAGAGAGGTCAGCAATCTCTGTGCAGTTTTCAGTTGTTTATTTATTTATTTATTTTTCATCCCTTTTACAGTTTCCATTAATTGCACTGCATGAAATTAGCTGATTATTCAGACCTTCAGCAATGAATAAAAATGGTCAGATAGCTATAACAGTCACATCTAAAGGTGGTTATTTTTTTTAATTTCATGTTTGTAGAGCGTAATTTTACCCATCCATCTCTTATCTCATCCCTGTTGAAACCTGTATCTGAAATATCGCTGCGCCATTCCTTCCTCCAATGCCCGCGCTTCTCCGGACGGAGGAATCATCCAGCGCGAGCTTCGGCGTGTCAGATCGGCTGAGCGTCAGTGTGTCAGGATCCAGCTCACTGGCAGTGTCAGTCAGACATGGGTTTAACAGACACGGATCATAGACGGCCCTGCCAGCTAGAGAAGACCGTGAGTTCCAGCGCTCAGGGCTCGGGGAGTAGATACCGTTACAGGGGCATATGTTCTTTGGCAGCCCAGTCAACTCAGACACTCGCCCTCTCTCTTGTTGACTCAGCCAGCTGGTGGTGGAAGAGATGGGCAGCCGGCTGATTAGAATGACAGGCATCTCGCTCTGTGAAAGGCAGACTGAGAGGCCAGGGCCTCACGCACGCACACAAACACACAGGCACGGACTCATGTAAAACTAGAGCGAGCAAAAGGGGGAGACAGAGAGGATGAGAGAAAGAAAGGGACAGTGGGGCAGAGGCCTAACACATAGCAGAAGCTACACAAATACAGAGCTTAACAGCGGGTCAGCGGAGCGGACAAAGAACAAGGGGAGAGACAGAGTCCTCAACTGCCCCTTTTCATCAAGATTCGACATGACGGCTCTAGGAGACACTGAAATTCCTGCATTTGGTGCATCGCAAACTCTCCAAATGCAAAGTTCAAGTCACAACTAAACCTAGACTTCCTACAATGTGTTGTCAGCAAATATGGCTCGATAAATTTTATCACTAAGTAAGCCATTTGTGTCAACTGAAAGCTAGCTCGCTCTGCCGTCGCTCTGATAATAGGCGTTGTAATTGATCCCGCATCAGGTTATTGATGTCTGAATCAATTAGCCTTAAACTGGCTATGTTCGAGATATTCATTTTAGGAAACAATCTGCCTTTATAATACTGCACATTAATCATTAGTAAATGCCACTTAACACAAGGTTAATTACACTCTTAACGACTCTCATAACCATTTTGAAGCTGAGAGCTCTTGTATGTGTAATTTGCTCGTCATAATCTCAAGCATAGTACATTTTAAGTGGCTGATTGATGGACAGGAAATAGAATCTGCCCATCGTTTTAAAATATAATAGAACACCTTATACAAGGAGGTCAGACTGCGGGAACAGACGGCAGGTAAAAGAGGGAGTTCACGCTCACGCTAAAATGGAAGTTTTCATTAAAAATGTCACTGTTAAAATTGAAGCCAGGGAACTTTTTTGTCAGTCATTCCCAAACTCAGTGTCATGGAAAACTTGGACATATTTTATGAAATGGTGCTTGCAGGCCTGGAAAAATGGTGAATTCCAGCCTGTGAGTGAATCATTCTCAATCAATGAATCGACTAAATCGGTTCACATACGATTCATTATAAAAATCAGTCTGAATTCAAAATAAATGATATAATTATAAAAGGTTTTCTGTTAAAACAGTGTCGTGTGTGCGTTGTTTGCAAGGGAAGTGAATCAATCAAAACGTGGAAGTGATGTTTGCAAGGGAAGTGAATCAATCAAAATGAACTTTAGCTGGATAATAACTTTATTCTAGAGCCAAAAAAAATCACTGTAACTTTAATTTCCTATTATCACTGTACAGCTGCTTTGAAACAATCTATATGGTTAAATACGCTATACAAATGAAGGTGACTTGACTTGATAAATGACCTGGAAAAGGCCAGGAAATTGTCAGTAATTAGAAGTCTTTTTACAAGTAGTGAATATACAATTTTTTTTTTTCCGAATTATGAAAACAATCCAAAAAATATTTCTAACACTCTAAAAAATGCTGGGTTGTTTGAACCCAATTTTGGGTAAAATATGGACAAACCCAGCCATTGGGTTAAAAATGTAATTTAAAAACGTAACCCAATGGCTGGGTTTGTCCATATTTTACCCAAAATTGGGTTCAAACAACCCAGCATTTTTTAGAGTGAAGATATTTGCCTGGCTACTTTGCTTATTGAAAACTTGTGAGCAAATCATTCTATTGTTTTTTTCATGAATCAACCAAACTAATCAATCGGAATTAAAAATCACGGGTGCCAATCAACATAGCGGCACATTAACGTAGAATGTGCGGCACAGTCACAGGTCGTCCAATCAGAAACAAAATTATTTGTAACATGTAACAGACCTTGCATTTACTTCCTCTTTAGTAAGGTCACAGCTTGCGCACGTCCGTCTCGCAATCCTAAGATTTATTCAGCCTCCTCATTGACTGCAGCATTGTTTCAGCTCGGTCCAACTTCTGCAGGCTACAGATGAAAACTATCGATTTAAAGTCAGTTTACTGTGGATTTCATTTGTTTGGAAGAACGAGAGCTGTTAATGCATGGTAATATCACCATAAACAGGAAACGCTACCTATCCCTGCATGTCTTAACCTCGTTTCACTACTGATCCGGTGGCTCTAATGGCAGCGGAGAGTTAATCTGAGAAATATGTCCATGAATCAAAAGCAGATTGATCGGCTCCTTCATGTCGAGCAACATATTACAAGGGCACGTCGAGCCGGTATACGTTTCAGTTCCAGATTAACTACCTTTTTAAAAGGTGGAACCGCGGTCCGTCTCTCCAGGGTAAACCCGAAGAACGGCGAAAGGACAAATGAATTCTTGTAACCTTGATATTCCTGAAAAATACACTTGAATTCCTAGCATTTATCCCTCGCACCCACCCACCCTCACGCTCTCTTTCACGCACACACATACACGTTCTGGCCCGCGTTCGCACCTTGCACGTTTTCATTATGCGAGGCTAAGTGGGCGGCACGCTAGTCCTCCCCCTCATGCTCGCTGCCATCTTTATATGATATTTTGGGTAATAATCACTGCTATCAGGCCATCCTCTCTCTCTTTGTTTCATTTCCTGTTCATCGGCAGGCACGACGCCTCTCTCCGCTCATCCCTCTTCTCAGCTTTGTGTAGCGCAGGGCCTTTACAATAGAGAGGCGAGGCAGAAGAGGCGTGCGGTTGGCACAGCGTGTCATTAACTCTTTACTGTTGCTGGAGAGCCAGACAGCAATCTGACTTACTGCACACGATTACACCAGGCCCCTCTCCACAGCCTAACAGTATTTATTAACATGTCCCTCCCTGTCACCTATCAACAGGTACTTAAAGGCCTTTCACCTCGTGGAGCACTTAGCCGTGAGAGGAACACCTGTGTTAATGTGTCACTCCCAAGCTATTTCTGTGAGTTAAAAGGCAGCTATTGTGCCGAATGATAGCGCACGACCCATCTGTAACAATGGAGAAAAGCAGGTGTACGAGCCTTTGCTATGAAAGACTAACAAAACTAGTTAAAGTAAGGAATAATAGATAATTGTTTCATTTGCTGGATATAAATGGTGTTGTGAAATGCAAGGCGATCAAGTGAAACTTCAGGCTCCAAAGTGCCATTCTTTAGCCTATCGCGTCGTAAAACCAACATGGAGGGGTTCATTTTGCAATAACGACTAATATTACAAATTAATCATTTGATAACTCTTTACAATAGGGTCTCATTACGCATTAACTATGAAGTAACACTAAGCAATATATTTTTTACAATGAATTAGTAAATGTTGGGATTGACAGTAGATAATATTAATAAATGCTGTAGAAATATAGTTAATTTTTATTACTAATGTAGTCTGTAACCTTTTTGTGTTCAAAATGTACAAAATTTATATAATATGTGTTAATATTCAGACTATTTTAGACTGGTACGGGTCGTACCACTGCTGAGAACCCCAGTACCTACGTGACTCGTCATAGACATAAACAGAGTGAAGTAGCTCTGGCTACAATGTTTTTCCGCAAGACACATACAGTTCTGTTTATTAAAGGGTTAGTTCACCCAAAAATTAAATCATTAAAATTAAATCATTAATTAATCACCCCCATGCTGTACCAACCCCGTAAGACCTTCGTTCATCTTCGAAACACAAATGAAGATATTTTTGATTAAATTTGAGAGGTGGATCTCCTTCAACTACTTCTTGCGCAATTCTCGCGCATGCGTCGTGGAAATCTCTTGAACTCTCGTCTCAGGCCTACAAGGAAGAAAAGGAATAGTCGAATAAAGTCGTTATTTTTGTTTTATTTCCGCACAAAAAGTATTCTCGTCGC